CACACACACACACACACACACACACACAAAAAAAAAAAAAAAAAAAAATCGTGAATAAAGTTACCTCAGCAGAGAGAAAAGTCTGGCAGATCGGGAAATTTTTAGTCTGAATCGGGAGACTCCCTTCTAGATCGTTATATTCTGGTTGTTTCCTTTATTTCAAGGGTACTTTAGGGTACTTTAATTGAGAGAGAGAGAGAGAGCGGGAGAGAGCACGAGGGGGGGGGGGGGGGTCAACGTATGCAAATATCAGGGGCGGATCCAGAAATATTTTCTGACAGTATTTCAAATTATCTTTGTTGTTCTATCCTCCATTTTTGACCGTCTTAAGAATTCCGACAAAAAATATTACGTACCCATCAATGTAAATCTGACCGTCTTCTAGAAGACCCAGAAGACGGCCTCAATTAATCCGCCCCTGAATATATAGCCAGGTTTAGAAAAGCGATGCAATCTACATGTATTATACTGCTTCAGATCTGAGGCGTCTCACGGTTTAGTTATCGTGATAGATCTCCACTCCTCATGTTCATTGATATCCCAGCTGTACTGTTAGCAGGCCTACTGTTATCATATATTATTATCATTCGATCCTTAATTGACATTGATCTTGATCTCTGTATCAATGATAACCTATTAAATCTTGTGTAATTATACCTTATAACCTTAACCTTGTTTTTGATTTGAGTTCGGTGACTTGTACTTGTAGGTTCATATGAGGCCTGGTGATTTATATATTCCCATGACACGTTAATAGATAAATAAATACTATACTATAGTAGGGATATACCGGGTATATATAAATATATATATTGTTACTAGAAATTATTTATAATGTAAAATATTTACTCTTATTCATGAAATGGTTGCACAATATAATAATAATAATAATAATAATAATAATAATAATAATAATAATAATTATTATTATTATTATTAGTCAAATAAGTTTTAAATATTTAATTTTGGCGAAAAGACCACCTGTCCTCAGTTGCCGTCAGTTCCAATTCAACTGCGAATTTAGACAGTTTCTATTTCTTTTATTGAAAAACATGTTCAAATTAATCGGAACCAATGGGTTCATGGTTGTTGTTTTAACTTTGTTTGGGTTCATTATAAACTGGAGCGTGCATCGACCTTGCATTGTGTATAGCAACAGAATAAAATTGTAAACACCGCCACCAAAAACTAGGTCAAAGAAGACGAGCCCAAACCGAATTGCCTAAAAATCCATTAACACAAAAATCAATTAACGTTTTAGTAACACAAGAAAAAAATCTATCCAACCAGTAGATTGTCTTCGTAATGCAGTTAACCTAGAAAGTCAGTGGGAAAGTCAACATCGCATTAATTTATTAGAAGTCAATGGTTCATAAAAAAACTATCAGTTCATTTTCTGTGACATTAGTCAAGTCGTGGTTTGTGATAATGACAGGTGCACTATAATGACCTTTCAATTTCCCCCGTCAAAACAGACCCAGGCAGTCGCCATTCCGCATTCTATTTCAAACCATTAGTTTCCCATTTAGAGCCAGATCTGTTCTAATGCCCGCGGGACGAGGAAATTGTTCATTTTGGCCGTTAGATCGAAGGGAATTATTATCACCCGGGATAATTAGCGCAGGCGCATCGAGTTGTTTACGACTCTGAACCTAGATCACGTGATGCGAATATGGCTGCTGCCTTTCAGTAAAGAGAACAACACAGCCGCTGCAAGATTAATATAGATTTTTCTCCGGTTCAGGAATCGCGAGACCTTGTGTGCTTCAAGTCTGACCAGCCTCCCCTTAATCTTTTCATCCAGGGGCGCTGAGGATTTTTCCTTTCGCTGGAACATTTTGATCGGGCGTTTGTTATTGAGAGGGCAAGCTCTCTGGTGCGCCGACTCTCATTCATAAATTCCCGTGTGTAACATGTTTATCGGCGCCAGAAGGTACAAGGAAGAAGTTGTGTAATAAACAGACTCACGGAGGAGAAGGTGAAGGTGATTCAAAGGCAGGATGGCGTCCACGGACTCGGGGGATATCCGAAAGCAGGGATATTTGAGGAAATTAAAGGTGAGACTCGAGAAAAACAAGGGCCGTACGATACACATATATAATGGAGTGAATGGCAGGTTCAAATTGCACCCTGTGTGTCATAGCGTAGAAATGTTCCTTTAACCTCCAAATCACAGGGTGATATAGTTTTACCGTGTAGATTGTACCAAGTAACCCAGAAAAACATATATAACGATAAAAACAGATTGAATCAAAATTCCAGGTACTACTACTAGTACTCGAGTACTGATGGAGACGTTTCATTCATCCTTTATTGCCAGCACGTCCCCCTGTCTGTCTCCCCGTCTGTCAGTCTGTCTAGCTATCTATGGACATGTACATACACAGACAGCACTGGAGTATAAGCCCATTGATAAAAAGTGAATTGTTCCTAGAGAAAGAGCCTAAACCTGTTTTTTGCTAAGTACTCATAATTATGTGAGACATGGCATTGAGCCAATCATCAAAGAGCCGTTTTTTTTTTATCCTTCATTACACAAGAGACAGTGAATGTTTTATCATGTAAGCCAATTGTCCTCTCGGTGTATTAAGTACTCTGTAGTTTTTTTCCCTCCAAGTCTGATGGAAATGGCAAATCCCATCCCCCCCCTCCCTGCATTCTGGTATTTACATATATGTTAAGTACATGTGATTTGCATATATGTGTTTAAGGTATATTAATTACTCACCATTATTATTATTATTAATGATTAATTGATACTATTAGTATTTTTGATTGATTGATTGGTCTGAAGAAACTGTGGTTCACCTAAATTAATATGTTTGTTCACATGTTCACTTTTCTGGAAGCTTAATACAGTGTCATCAGAAAAAAAAGTTTTTGTATTGGGGATATTTTTTTAACTGCAGAATGTTTTTAAATCTTCCTTGAAAAATATCTGCCGAATTGGAAAATGACTTACTCTCTCTCTCTCTCTCTCTCTCTCAGTTAAATATTATATAGCAGTTGCAGGTACCATGTACATAAAATATAAATCATCAAATCATCACTGCCTGATGCCATACGAGACTAGAAAACATGACAAGAACCTGTCTGAGGCTTAACTTTTTATTGATTTTGCCCAGAATGGCATCTTAGAAAACAAAACATGATGAATTTGTACTGTAGCTACACACAATGAACTTTAATTTGACAAGACATAAGAGGAAAAATTACCAGTGTATACGTAAATTCTATTGTCTTTTATTTGTTGCCGCACCTCTGTCACTAGTCTGCCATTATTTCTTATCCCACTCCTTCAAATTCCATGAAAATTGGCTCGACTTTAGGCTAAGTGGTGAGACTGTGGGCTGTCTCTGTAGAACGCATTCAGAACAGGTTGATCTACGGACAAACAGATCCGCGGACCAAATATGGCAGACACACTTGAAAGCTTGCCGCCTAATCCCCTACTAGGTACTAAATAGATTAGGCAATAAGCTTTCAAGTTTGTCTGTCATATTTGATGTGGATCTATTAGTCCGTGGATCAACCTCTGTTCTGAACGCAGCCTATGCTTTTTTAAAGGGATAACTCTTCGTTTTGGCCAAAAAAATGAATTTTCCTGGAGTAAACAACAATTTTCCCATACTTACCAATGGTTAATGAATCCATTTTTACATTTAAAGTTATTTCCTGGTTTTTTCTAAAAAGTTTGTTTTTTTGTTATATAATCTCTTAAGAGATTTTAACAGAGTATAGCCATCAATGGAGGTCATGTGGTCTAAAGACTAGTTCAGATATCAGAATAATAGCTATAACTGCCGTTTTTGTGGTAAAACAATATATTATATTTCTATGAGTTGTTCACAATGTTTTTATTGTGAAATATAGATCTCATACGAAGAGTTATTATCCCTTTAACATGGGAGACAGATTCATACACCCCATTTCCATAGATTTTTAGATCGATCTATCCATGTGGGGAGTCTCACTAGATTACTGTCAGCTTGGCCAGCTTAAGTGTCTGTCCCGCCTACTAAAAGCTGTAAGGGGGTAATTAACTATGGTGCGCGCTCGGCTGACTGCAATTTAGTGTGAACCCCCAGGGAGTTAGGTCGATCTAAAACTTAATCTTTAGATTGATCTAAATCTCTGGGAAAGCACCCATAGTGTGACTGTTGTTGTTGTTGTTTTTCATCTTCCAGTAATTGTCCTTCATCACCCTTAGCAACAGCCATATTTATATCTATTTTGTCTCAGATAGGAAATGATGGCCATTATTTCTAAGCTCGTTTCATTTCAGATTTATTTATACCTTAGCCTATCATGAAAATTGTTTAGTATTGTTTTTTATTCTTGTTTTGATGGGATGTAGGTTTTTTCAAAGGTCAACTCAACCCTGGATGGAGAAATTTCATTATCAGAAACCATAGGAAAGATTATAGTTTTGAGGAAGCTTACTAGTACCAGAATGTAATGGGGGGTTTATCTGGAATAATCTTTATTTAGTCTTATAGCTGGATGGTTTTGGCCATTTATTTATTTTATTTATTTATTTATTTATTTCTGCCTCAAACATGCCAAAAGTACATTTGAACTTTAATTTCCATCTCCCCCCCCCCCCCATTTTTTAGCTGTAGACAGTATAGGGATTTTTTCATTTGTGATACAGAATGTTAATCCTGTTATTCATTTATCTAAGTCAGAAACTTTTAACAAAATTAATTATGTATATTTGACGGGAAAGGGCTAATGTGTTTTACATGGATCTTCAATGAGTAAATGGTCCAATTTTACATTGTACAAAAAAATAAAAAAAATAAATAAATAAAAGAATGTCAGCAGACCACACCAGGATCTGTTTACAAGTATAGAAATATGATATGCAATAAATATACAAAAAACAACTGGTGTTATATAAAATTTGGCTCGGGGACTTCATGATGGAGGGAACTTTAGCTGGCATAATAAGTGTTCACATAGGTTAAAAATAGCTAGCTACTACATTGCCACTAAAAGTGAAAGAGGATTTACTTCTCTTTTCCAAATTTTGTTAATTCATGGCTGGAAAGATTTTAATAAATATGTTTGAAACTAGGATTCTTTTTCTGTAGGTAGTGGGTCTAAGGGTGGGATTAGTGGGGTTGGGGGTGGGGGTGGGGTTAAAGGGTAGAAGATGGATGCTTTTTTCAGACATGCTGAATCTGTCGGTCCGATCGGTCATGGCCGGGAAAATTTGTCTGGACTGGTAAAAAATTGGACTTGATAGGTCCAAAGGACAGACAAGAGTTTTAAGAGCAGCAATTTTGAATTTACAGTCATCATTCGACATACTTCACTAATAAAATCATATAAAACCCAAAGCGTTTCTTCCCTTTCATTGCAAACCTATCACATTCACAAACAAAGTAAGCTACCCTAATCGTACCGGTAGTATCTGTCTCAAACGAATAGGGTGATTTTAGGTCCGACAAAAACCCATTCGGTCCGGCAAATTTTTCGTTACTGCCGGTCCAAATGTCCGGCCATTCTGAAAAGTTTTCAGCATGTCTGTTTTTTGTGTAAATAATGGGCAAAGGTTTTACTGATTGCATGTAAAAGCAGTGGGAAAAGAAAGTAACATGTTCCACCATTGTTATAGTAAAGATTCAATTGCATTGATTTTTTAAGTGGAAGAGTGGATCTTGCTTCCTTCGCATTAAAATTAATGCTCATCATTTTCTTGAAAACAAACTGGATTTCTATTTCACTTGCTTAGATTAAGTGACAAGTTACCTAGTCCATAAAGTGCAGTTATCTAAGAGTAAGGGTCACATTTTTTTTAATCTCTTAAATTTTGCCCTTGACAAGTTTAGAACGACGATATGTGCCTACTAGTAAGTAATAAATTTGATTTAAGGTATAAATTGTATCAGAGAACTTAGTAGAGGCCATACTCTCTTGAATGCATAAGGATGAAATTTTGGCAAAAAACACTCTATCAAAATAATCTATCAAAAGTAATATTGCTTCTGGTTTTAAAAAATCAGATTTCTTTTATAATAAATTTGGTGAAAAACAGATATTTGATTCAAAAAAATTCTGCAACCCTTTCATAAGTTTTTTACTTTTAAGATATATTTTAAGTTTTAAAATAAATATAGACTAACATACCTGTGGCTGACAAAGTCTGCTGTTTTTCTTGGAAGTCCTGGCTCTGTAATGACGGTTGAAGAAAATGACCAAGCTATTTATACTATAGATATGAAACTGAAAGTGGGCAATACCATATGTCACCTTAGAGGTCCCTAGCTTTTAGAATTGGGGGTTTCCGTAGGCTCTTTATTTCTTAGAAGTGGAGGTTTCCAGAAGGCCCTTTGTGTGTGTGTGAATGTGTGTGGGTGAATGTGTACGTGTGTGTGTGTGTGTGTGTGTGTGAATTGATGACAATCTGAATATAATTGAAATTGATGCAATATAATTTTCAAAAATCTTTGATGTTTGACAGGACTGTGATAATAATAATAATAATAACAGCTATAATAATCAAGCAATATGTCACTTTTTTTTTAGTCGCATCAACTTTTAAAACAAAGAATCTTTTGTCACAACATCTTTTTACAGTTTTGTTCCAAACTTGGGGGGGGGGGGTCTGGATAAATTGTATATAATTTTTTTTAAAGTCCAAAACGTATACAGTACAAAACAAGGCTGATAAGATTGCGAAAGGGTGAACTTAAGCAGATGGTTCTCAGGTCAAATGTCACAGGGGTTTCCGTAGCTCTTTATATCTGAGAACTGGGGGTTTCCAAGAAGTCGTGTGTATGTGTGTGTGTGAGAGAATCAGTGATAATCAGAAAGTTGAAATTGATGCTATATATTAAAATTTTTTGATGTTTGACAGGTCTGGACTAGTGTGATAATAATAATAATAACAGCAGTAATAATCAAGCACTATTTCACTGTTTTTAGTCATATCAAGTTTTGAAAAAAATCTTTTTTGACATCATTTTTTTGACATTTTTGATACAAACTGGCCAGGGCTAGGGGTCTGGATAAATTGTATAAAAAATTCTTTGAAGTCCAGAAATTATACAATACAGGAGAAGGCCAATAAAATAATCAAACGGTGAACTTAAGCAGGTGTTTTTCAGGTCAAAGGTCACAGAGACTTCCAGCCAGGTTGAAGTTTCTGAGAAATTTGAGAAAATGAAAGTAAAAAAATTCCATCCTATAAAATGCTTGAAAGACAAAGCAACCTACCTGCTATTAACCGGCTGTGGTGTTTTCTTCTAGCACAGGATCCGTAATAAAGGCTCAAGAAAATCACCCAGCTTTTTGTACCATAGATATGAAACTGAAAGTGATCTTTTGAAATTTCCAAGAACTGGAGACTTCCAGGAGACCCTAATTTTGTGTAGGTGCATTGTTGACAATCTGAAAATGGATTTTGATGCTTTATCTTACAATGTGCCTTCCATAGAATTGGTATATAATAATAATAATAATAATAATAATAATAATAATAATAATAATTATGAATATCACATCTCTCTGATATTTTTGTCATTTATTTTTGAAAGTGAATTTTTTAAATCATTTATTTCCATTTGCTCAACTTGAGAATGTCTAGAATTATATGGAAATATAACCAAGTCTTAAATCCAACCCTTACACAAGGGAAAGTTGATTTAATTTTAAAAGGTTGTGTAAACAAAGGTTTTGAGGTCAGCAGGTCAAAGGTCATGGAGTCTTCCAGCCAGGTTGAAGTTCTGTGAACTGAAAGTGAAAGTGAAAGTCAGAGAATACATACTAGTTATTTCTTTATTGAATTTTAGTAGCTAACTTATATTTCAAGGGAATAATGTGATGGATGCAATTCTTTTTATTTATTTATTTATTTATTTATTTATTTATTTATTTATTTAGTCCTGCCTCAGACATGCCAAAAGTACAAGGAATCTTGAATTTTCATCTTTTTTCCCCATTTTTTAGCTGTAGACAGTATAGGGATTTTTGTTTGTGATACAGAATGTTAATCCCGTTATCCATTCATCTGTCATGTAACACGTGTAGCGAAGGCGCCTATGTGTGATGAGATGACTTCTTGAATGGTATAAAACATGCACAAGGGAAAGTTGATTTTATTTTAAAAGGTTGTGTAAACAAAGGTTTCGAGGTCAGCAGGTCAAAGGTCACGGAGTCTTCCAGCCAGGTTGAAGTTCTGTGAACTGAAAGTGCAAGTGAAAGTCAGGGGGATAGGTACTAGTTATTTCTTTATTGAATTTTAGTAGCTAACTTATATTTCAAGGGGATGATGTGATGGATGCAATTCTTTTTATTTATTTATTTATTTATTTATATATTTAGTCCTGCCTTAGACAAGCTAAAAAGAACAATTGAAACTATAAATTTCCATCTTTCCCCCCCCCCCCCCCAATTTGTAGCCGTAGACAGTATGGGGATTTTTTTATTTTCCAATTCTGAATGTTAATCCCGTTATCCATTCATCTGTCATGTAACACGTGTAGCGGAGGCGCCTATGTGCGATGAGTAATGACTTCTTGAATGGTATAAAATATGCACATCAAGTACAGTTGCTTAACCTTGTAACGAGACACACTACTGAATCACATACAAATTTTTTTTTGTCACAGCACAAAACCTGACAATTTTGCCTTATCACTGGCCTAGTCACTTTTACCAACTTTTAAAGAACTTTCTGTTTCACTTTTGAGTTAAAACTTTTGAATTTAAATTCTAAAAACTATTTACAAGTATATACACTTGGTAAAAATGTTTTGCCTTTGTCATTGTTAAATGCACTAATACTGTACTAAATAATAATGATAATGATGATAATTATAGAAAAAAAAAACAAACTTTTTTTCTTATCAGTGCAAATAGCCTTCACCCAGATTCATTAAATATGTCAAAAGTTCAACCTTTAAAGACTTGAAGGCCTATCAGGATGTTTACTGTGTGTATTGCTACATCTGGGACCCCAGGGTTTTGTTTGTTTATAGATTTTGAAATTAGCCAGAACAAGGTTAAAGGCATGGGAATTTTTTCTTTTCTTTTTTCTTGTTAATAATTATCAATAAAACTTCTTAAAATAATAATAATGATGATGATGCTGATGATAAATATTATTATTATTATTATTATTATTATTATTATTATTATTATTATTATTTAATCAAAAATTCTCAACGCATTTCGCGCTTATGTCAGAAGGTTGGCTCAACCAAACTATTGCATAAAATGTAGTGTAGATGTGGAAAGAAAAACTGACAGACAGACAGACAGACAGACAGACACACAAAACTTAAATCATAATAACACCATGGCAAATATCAAGGAAAAAAGGTCGGACATGCATCTCGCTTACACGTACATCACAAAAGTGAAAATAAGAACTGCCATCTAGACGAATTTTAAAGCCTTGCTGAGTTTGAAATGGACATGCACCGAATGACCCCCCAGAAGTTAAAAGATGCCATCATGTTGTTGTTGTCGTCTCAGCCACCAGACATTGAAATGAGTTGTTGACTGACACTGAAGGTGAAATTAGACCGGGTGATTGACCTTGGGGCAAATAACAGTGTCATTGAGACAAACCGTAACAGTATGTGTCACCCAATTTGATATCTAGATCTGTGTTCATTGCTTGTTGTTTACCTGAATGAAAGCGAATTATTAAATACTGGAAAAAAAATATAAAGACAGAAACCAGAAAACAATCAAATACCTAAAGAATGAAGAGATTAATAAATAAGAGGATTAATATATAAATAGTTGATAAATAGTTGAATAAAAAAATAAATGAATGAATGAATGAATAGAAAGATGAATGAACTAATAAAATAATTAAATAAATGAATAAGTAATTAGTTAAAATTGAAACTAAATTGTAAAGTTTTCACCAATTAAAGTGGAAATGCCCCAATTCATATCTTTTAGGCTATGACCAGTTCAGACAGGGAAGTAACTTAGACTGGATCTTGACCACATTGCATCATGATATTTACTGTTATATAGAATCACTGAACCACAGGCGGCTTGTTTGACGGGGCAAAAAAGGTTGCCGTAGAAATGCTCTAGTGATGCTCAACATCTGGTGATAATGATGATGATGTAATTAATTTATGATGCTTAATTTGATTCCTGATGTGAACAGGCCCGTAGGTTGAATTTCTGGCCCTCCGGTGCCATGTCAGTGCAACACGATATTGATAACCTAATTTCATGGAGTGTGGCATAAATAAGTTCTAATTATATTTCCCAGCTGGCTCAAAGATGGATTACCCTGAGTTTCTAAATGATATTGCTAACCCATTGCATGTACTAGTAGTGTGTAAGACTTCTAGAATGAAATTATTTGCTGGGTTTTATAATTACGTGAGTATGTTGGCGAAAACGGAAGTCACCCTATTGAATGTAGGTTGGGAATTGATAGATGACGATAAATAAACCTAAACTGGGTTCACATACCTAACGGGATCGATCCATCTCTAAAGGGTTTCCCGCTAAATTACTTTCATCTTAAGTGGCTCAGATGTCTGACACGCCTACTGAAGCTGCTAAACGATAATTAATTACCCCCTAGCAGCTTCAGTAGGCGGGACGGACATCTAAGCTGATTAAGTTGATTGCAATTTAGCAAGAATCCCCTTGGAGATAGATCGATCCACAGTTAGTACGATATGGTCTAGGAATGGTTCCTTAGCCACAGTGACGTAAAACATAATTATAAAAGGTGGGGGGTATGATTTCTCGCCTGGTTCAAGGATGGGATAAGCTGTCCATGAGTTTCTGCACGAAAATGATTACCCAATGCATGTAGTGTGCTGACGCAAATAGGCACTAATTATATTTCTCAGCTGGCCTAAGTATATCGATTACCTTGGGTTTCTATGCCATAATATGTGATGACATAAGAAATTAGAAAACTGTCATAAATATATACGTAAGAGAAGTCTTGTAGACATTGGTTACTTTTCAGTAACTTGCTGTTTTTAGCGTGGTGAAAACATGGAAATTTAGTCGGTTCTGATTTTTTTTTCAGAAGATGATTCTCCACTGACAAAATTTTTTTTCACTTAGAAAATTTTGTCAAAATTTTTAACATGACACAGGATAATTTTGAGAAGTTTTTCACCTAATATGGCCATGTCAGATTCAGGCATTTTCAAATATTAATTAATTTGTGAATGACAAAAATTTTCAAGGTCTTTACCGTAACACCCTGAGATTCTAGGGTCATTTTGAAAACTCTCCCGTCTTACGTCAGAAAGTCTCTACCATTTCCAAAGAGGTGATCTTCCAGTGCCTTCTGACTCTCAGGGTGATATGAGTATACTTGCACTAAATACCTCCTGTTTTGTAACTCGGATAAGACGGTTAACCATAGTGATCATAAGTGTCACTGGAAATGATGTCATATCAAATTTTGTCAATCACTCTCGGTGTTGTTATGTAAGTTGGGATTGGCTCATAAAAAAAAAAAAAAATTGGGTAAGATTACACAAGCTACCAGTGCTAACAGATTTGAAATACCGATGTTTGAACCAAGGCTTACCCCCCGAGGGACGTCCAGCCATCATTTGGATGGCCACTGGCCGCAAAAAGACTGCCTTTATTTCCAAAGATGGTAGAACGGCTTATGTAATCATTGGGAAGTGAAGGTATATTTGTAGTTTGACTCCCTGTAAATCGGTGACGAAATTACAGATTTACTTATAAATAAACATTTTGGGACTCCCCATACCCCAAATACTGGGGAAACCTCTGATTTGAATTGTGACAAAATAGCTTAGAGCTAGACTAAGAAAATTTAAAAATGTTTTTTTTTTCCTTTGAGGCTTGACGTTTTTACCTTTCTCAAATGGCCTTGATTACATGGCACTCGTCATCACCATCGTGAGCTCTGGGACTTAAGATGGCGCCATTGTTGAAGGGTCAAATTGTCATGCCTTGTAGACCTATGAAAACACGTTTTGTCTCATATATGTAAATTATCAAACACAGCCGAAAATTTTTCATACCATTAGCTAACAGCCAACCTTGGACGTAGGCCTTCATCAGCATTATGTTGTTACTCACTGACCGCTAGGTGGTATAGCGGTGGTCCAGTTTGACCGTAAACAAACCGTATGAAAGATTTTCAGCTTGTGTTTTAGAATTTTCATTTATGATCAAACTACCAAGCTAATGAACATTTTTGCTCATTTACGATTAGTCTCTATACAAATGTTGTTTTCATCATCGCCACTCAAGAGACACGGTTTCATCCTCCTTAAAGCATTGATTTAATAGATTATTTTTGCTGTCACAGTGTTTTTTAGTTAT